CCCGCAGGCGCAGCGATGTTGGATACCTCGGAGGCGACGGCCCACTCCCGGCAGCTGCTGCTCCAGCTCAACGCGCAGCGCACCAAGGGCTTCCTCTGCGACGTGATCCTGGTGGTGCAGAACGCGCTTTTCCGCGCGCACAAGAACGTGCTGGCGGCCAGCAGCGCCTACCTCAAGGCCTTGGTGGTGCACGACAACCTCATCAACCTGGACCAGGAGATGGTCAGCCCGGCCGTCTTCCGCGCCGTCCTCGACTTCATCTACACCGGCCGCCTGGGCCCCGACGCCGATGGCGAGGCTGAGCCGGCCGGCGGAGGAAACCCGGAGCCCGCCTTGGGAGCCGTCCTGGCCGCCGCCAGCTACCTCCAGATCCCGGACCTGGTGGCCTTGTGCAAGAGGAAGCTGAAGCGCTCCGGCAAATACTACCAGCTGCGCGGCGGCGGCGGCGGCAGCGGCGGCGGGAGCTTTTCGGCCTCGGCGCCCTTTGGAAAGCTGGCCAGGGGTCTCCGCGCCGCCACGCCGGTTATCCAGAGTTGCTTCGGGGCTCCGCCGCGGCCGGTGGAGCCAAGCAATCCGCTCAGCACCCACTGCGGGGAGCTGTACGCCGCCGCCGCCCACCCACACGGGCTGTGCCCTCCGCTCTGCGGCCTGGACCTCTCCAAGAAGAGCCCGAACGGACCCTCCCCGCAGCTGCCCCCGCAGCCCCCCTCCGAGAGCCGCCTCAGAGCAGCGGTGGAGAGCCGCGAGGGCATCCTGCCGCCCCGACCCGAGAGCCCGGCCTTGCTGCCTCCCCACGCGGCCTTCGGGGAGCCCGGCTCCACCGCCCCTCTCCAGGCCGCCTTCCCCCACCTGCACCATCGTGGCAACGGCGGCAGCAGCCCCGGGACGGAGCCCAGCGCTCGCGTGGAGGTGGCGCCCGAATTCCTGTACCGCTGGATGAAGCACGAGCCGCTGGTGGCGGGCTACGTCCTGGATGAGGAGGAGGAGGAGGAGGAGGACGAGGAGGGCGACTGTGGCGGCGCCCGACGGGAGCAGGGCAGCGGCGGCGGCGAGCGAGAACTGGAGCCCCAGGCCCCGTCGCCTCCCGGGCCGCCCCGGCACCACTACCTGGAGAGCGCGGAGCCCGACGGGGAGGCGGAGGACCTGGAACCCGACAAGAGCACCAGCGAGGAAACGGGCTGCAGCAGCGGCGGCCCTTCTCCCGCGGGGGGCAGCCTGGAGCGCTACCTGGGCTACGAGCCCGAGAGCTTCGGGGGGGACAACCTCTACGTGTGCATCCCCTGCGGGAAGGGCTTCCCGTCCTCCGAGCAGCTGAACGCGCACGTGGAGGCGCACAACGAGGAGGACGAGCTGTACCGCAAGGAGGCGGCCGAGGCGGCGGCGGCGGCGGCGGGGCAGGGCTCGCCCTACCTGGACAAGGCGCCCCCGCTGCCCGCGCCCCCTCCGCCCTTGCCCCCCTCGGGGGGCCCGGCCGGCTGCGACCTGCTGCGCCCCTACCGCTGCGCCTCCTGCGACAAGGCCTACAAGGACCCGGCCACGCTGCGCCAGCACGAGAAGACGCACTGGCTGACGCGGCCCTACCCCTGCTCCATCTGCGGCAAGAAATTCACGCAGCGCGGCACCATGACCCGCCACATGCGCAGCCACCTGGGCCTGAAGCCCTTCGCCTGCGACGCCTGCGGGATGCGCTTCACCCGCCAGTACCGCCTGACCGAGCACATGCGCATCCACTCCGGCGAGAAGCCCTACGAGTGCCAGGTGTGCGGGGGGAAGTTCGCCCAGCAGCGCAACCTGCTCAGCCACATGAAGATGCACGCCGCTGCCGCCGCCGCCGCCGCCGCCCCCGACGGGAAGCTGAAGCTGGACTTCCCCGAGGGGGTGCTGGCCATGGCCCGGCTGGCGCAGCAGCAGTCGCCGCCGCCGGACAAGGAGCTCTTCCACCACACCTCGCACTTCTTGGCCGCCGCCGCCGCCGCTGCTGCCGCCGCCGCAGACCCCAAGGCCGCCCTGGAGAGCCTCTACCTCGGGCTCAGCCCCGACAAGACGGCCGAGGTCTTCGCTCCGGGCGCCGTAGTGGCCGCCGCCCACCACCTGCACAACGACCACCACGCTCGGACCATTGGCCGCTTCTCGCCCCACTGAAGCCCCTCTGCCCGGGCCTGGGAGCCGCCCTTGGTGACCGAGACAGCTACTCCCGGAACTGACCGCCACGGGGCTGCCGCCGGCACCGGGGCCGACTCTCCCGGCTCTTCCGCTGCGCTTCCGCGCTGCCCTTCCCTCCTTTCCCGTCTCCCTCGGGCCCTCCGCCTGGCCGAATGCAGCCACTCGTCCCTACCTCAAATGGGGCCCTCCGCCTCCGAGCGCGGAGGTCCCTGGCTGCAGCGGAGGGGGCGCCGGGCAGGGTCGCACCTGCGCCAAAGGGAGAAGGGCTTTTTCCATCGGGAGGGTTCACGCCTCGCCCCCCCCCGCCCCCGCTGGAGAAGAGCCTCGGCTTGTAGGGACCAGGAAGTCCGACGGGTGAGCCGGACTGAGCCAGCTGCCTCTTGCCCCAGCCCGGAGAGGACCTAGCAGCACAGGCAGCTGGCAGGGCAAGCGGCTGCAAGGTGGCCTAGCTGGGGTTCGAAAGCTGCAGACCCTGGAGGGGGTGTCTGTGAATCACAGCCCCCCCTTCTGCCTCGGGGAGGGATGGCGTGACAGCCCGGCCTCTTGGCGAGACCCTGAACAGGTGTGTTACCCCCTCTGGGGGCAGAAAATGCTCGCAACGACCCCCCTCGGGGACTCAGGAGGAAAGCTTCGCGGGAGTGGGGGGGGGGGCGTTCTTGTGGCAGCCAGACCCTGTCCTGCCTTCCTGGGCAGGGGAGAGCCCCCCCCCACCGCCAAGGCCCTCCAGCCCCAGAAAGCCCGAAAGGCTAAGGCAGGGGAGCCGCAAAACGGCACCCCTCGAGACGCCTGCCCAATGGCAGAGGAGCCCTGCCCGGCCTCAAGCCCCCAGAAGAGGCGGGGGGGGGGGAGACGGTGCAAAACCCAGTTGGCCCTCTTGGAGGGTCTTTGCCGGTGAGCAGGAGCCCCCACCTCGCAGGCAGGCAGGGAAGGTCTGGGGCTGCTGATTGAAAACTGCTAGTCCGCCTTGGGGGGGGGGGAGGGGATTTCCTCAAACTTGTATTGCAATGTGAAAAGGAGAGGGTGCCTCTGCCCCCCCCCCCGATTGTGGGTCAAAGGGAGCGAAGGGGAAGGAAGGTAGCCCCCCCTCCCCTGAAGACCCTGTCTTGTTTCCAGGATGGGGCTCCCGGGACCCCAATAATACTTGACAAGGACAAAAGGTCACCTGTTTGTCTGCTTCCTTGAGGATGGGGGAGGGTCGTCTGGGCCCCAGGGGGTCTGGGCCTTCCCTCTGTGGGGCTAGCTACCTGCCACCCGGCCTCTGCTGCACTTGTGGGGGGCCCTCGGACGGCCCACCCAGCTGCCCCTCTCCCCCACCCCACCCTTGACCCCAACCAGCCACGGAAAAATGTGAAACTGCTCTGTCTTTGCACACCCCTCCTTGCCTCCCCCCTGCCCCCCCCTTGGGCTGTGTCTTCATCTGAGCCAG